TGACCAAACTGGCCAAGGAGCAGCTCATCAGTATAGTGCCAACATCGGAAAACCGCTTGAATTTGAATTTGACAGCACGGGGCAATCAGTCCTCGGATGCTCCTCACCGACTTGCAGGTAGCTTCCCTGGGTCGCAAGTTGCAGGCTGCAGCATGCAAAAGCGCAGTGGCAGAAGGGAGGATATGTGGACAGCCAAAACCATCATGTCGCAGAACGGGCGCGACATGCAGACCAACACGACATGGATCGACATGGACCTGACGGGGCCTGGCGCTGAGCTCTTTGTCCAAGCTTTCAGGTCCATGTCCTGCCTGGCGCGTTCAGTAGGAAAGTGCCGAAGTGCAAATATGGGCACGCGCCGCTCTCCCGGCCTCGGGCCAGCTTCCCGCAGCCTCCAATCAAAGCAACGCCACCCCCCGTCCCCGTGAGGGGCTCCGCCCCTAGGCCCTAGGACTTATTGCGAGTCGATGCCTTGCAGTCCACGACTGCCGGGCCTAGCAGGATCATGCCTCGGTTGCTCGTGCTCATCGTGCCAAGCACAAGCGCCCTGCACGCGCTTTCGGACAGTGCAACGCTCTCTCACACCGAGAGGCATTGCACGGCCGTTGTCCGCAGGAGCATCTGAGATTCCTAGGTCTTCGGTCTCCGTGTTAGAGACCGAGATTCAAACAAGCGTGTCAGCAAGCATCTTCCACACTCTCCAACTTGCAGCTTGGGCTCCTCAATGTAGTCCTGTCACAGAAGAGCCCCAAAAATTTGTGCGAGGACAAGAGCACCAGACAGAGAGCACTGTACTGTACAAGATCAGCTTGCATGGCCGGTCGCCTGCAGAAGCTTGTTGCTCTCCAGCTCTTCAGGCGCAGCCCTCAATCCAGTCCCAGCTCCAACTGTTTCTGTGGGGACAGATCCTTCCTTTGCCACGAGACTGCTGCCGAGGGACTGAGTGGCGGCTACTCGTATTCGCTGCCAGCTGGCCAAGTTCTGACCTCAGAGGACCGCATAACTTCGCCTAACTGCTATGTCTTGGCTCTCCACTACACTTGTTGAGCCAAGACACCCAGCAGGTCTGGAGAAACTCGGCACAAGCCCGTGATGATGAAAGCTTCTATGAGGGTTGACAATGCAAAAGCCTTAGATTTGGGGCAGAGAGCGAGCCGGTTGCAAGCCAAGGGCCAAACTCGGCAAAGGGTGTTAGATGTTCCAGCTCGACAGCAAGATGCAAGGACACAGCCAGACGCAGTAGAGAACATGCCAAGCCGCTTTGTCAGCCAGGTTGATCTTCTTGTGCCTTGCAAAAGGAGAAGGAGCGGAGTTAGGCGCCACTCTGGAGACTCCACCATAGGGATGACTCACAGAGCCAGCAACCTTAAGACTTCCAAATTCTAACTGCCTTCGGAAAGCAAAGTAACTCCACCCTTAACCCTGCGCACCTCACAGCATGTGTCACGGCGCGGGTCTCCGCGAGGAACAGCGCGCTTCCCAAATAAGTCCTCAGCGCACGGAGACGCAATAAGCAAGATCATTCATGGCGATGGGTCGGCAATTGCAGATTTGCCTTGAGGGCAAAATGAACCTGCTTCGAATTCGAGCTCATGCCCCGAACATGTGGTGAGACTGTGCCAATGAAGACAAGCAGCTGGAATTGCGAATGCCTCGCGCACCACTCTGCGAACTGGAGCCTCAGATGATGCGCTGGGACCGCTAGGACTCTAGGAGCGCAGGACATCACTGAAGCGAAACTGCTGCTTGTTAAGGCCAACCCTCAAGCACCCAAAACGCAACCGCCGTATCTTGCAAGTCGCTGTTGGATGCAATCAAGCTCATATTCGACTTGATGATAGTCTTCGTGGAGGATCCTCAGGCCATGTTGCAATTCTGTAACTCATGGGTGTGCAGGACGGCCCGTCAACAAGGAACTCATCGTGTATCGTTGCATATGTCTCTGCCATGACAAACTTGAACCACACCCTGATGCCCCGCGTAAGTCTTGCAAGGCTCACTATGTCCGCAGCTGCCGGGCTCTCGGTGGAGAGTGCATTCACGCGAGCGCAAAGGCCCTGACAAGATCTGTGCGAATCCGTGCCGGCTTGCTCTCGCTCTGTAATTATCGCTCTCCCGCTCCATCCTCAACGCTTGCTGGCTTGCTGCTGCCCGGCACTCATATCCCCTTTTCCTTTGGGGTTGGGTTTAAAGGGCAGCTGTGGCTTCAGAGAATAGACTTTCAAGCAGAGTTGTCGGTGCCATCCCTGGGGTTGTGCTAGCGATATTTTCCTGTTAACCTACATCATGCACAAACTTCCTAATTCTTGTAAGCAGGCCCCAAACCCTCAGCCTGAACTCACAAACACGAAAACCCTTAGCCCTGAGCTCATTCGGCGGAAGTCCACCCACCCGTAACCAAACCGAGCGCGCCACTGCAGCGTTAGTTTTATCTGCGAGTGATTTTATATCAGAAACAGCTCGGCTGTGTCCCCCACATGTCAAATAACTGGCATCCGGTACACGCGTGCGAAAAATCATGTTGAGCACTTTGCCGCTAGTTGCGACTTCTCTGTTTTCTGGCCGTGTGGTTTGCTCCGTGTTGGCATCCGGGAGAAGACGAGTAGGTCAGTGAATATGTCCCCAGTTCCGCTTGGCTCCTCCCCGAGACCCCGCCAAGCGTTAGACCCTGGAGCGTTAAATTATGTTGACCCCCTCAACCTCCGGCGGGAAAGAGCAGCCCAGCACGAGCAAGGGTGCACAGGGCGGGACTTGATTCAATGTGGCACAGTAGGCTCTATGTCTGTACCGTCATCTTTGTGTGTCGCTCCAGAGCACAGTCCACGATGCCATCATCAAGGTCACACTTTTCGCCTTTGCTTCAACTGGCAACGGTGCGCCTCTCGAATCACCGTCTTCTGGGTGCCACGGCAGCCCATGAATATCGCAGGCATCTGGCAGGCAGATACCGAATGCTAGCCTAGGTGATCGCGTATCACTAAAGCCTTCCATCAAGCGAGTCCATTGGCCTCAGCGTAGAAGTCGTGCAAGCTCCTCGCAGACTCGCTCATGCAAGGCCACGACAGCTTTACGCCTACGGGACCAAAACTCTCTTCGAGCTCCACACGCCTGCTGGGTGGCTCAAAGCTGACAATGAAGCGATGGTTCTTGAGGAAGGTACTCTGACCAAAAGGGCAGGACCTCGGAAAATGCTGCTGCATGCAACGCGTGATACTGTAGCTTATGAGTCCAGCTCAAACGACTCGCCGAGCCACTCTCCGATGAAGAGCCTGTGCTGGTGGATTACCAGTTCGACAGCGCCTCATCGCCGGAAAAGGCTCTTCAATCGGAAGAGCTGATATTTATGTAGCCGTAGGTTTAGCACGGCAGAAGCCTATCCGTGCCCGTTAGGCACTCAGTGCCACGAGCCACAACGGATGCGCAGTTTGGATCCTCTGTGAATGAACGTTCCGCACTGCATCGGCGCTATTGAATTTCTGTTCACTACAAAAACTGCGGACTGCTTGCCTGCGTGGTGGCATCCACTCGTGGCATTGCCGATGAATTCCCCTCCTGCCATTGGTTGGAGCCCAACGCGATGCTTCTGACAGACGGCTATGCTCTGACCCTCTTGAGCTGTGCCTGACGAAAAGAATCGGATAGTTCCCGTCTGTCCGGGAAAGAGCTGCTGGAATGAGAGGACCTTTGGGACTCAGCTCGTGCTCGCCAGAGGGCACGCATCACAAAACTGAGGAGCATACACATTGGCCGGCCGCAACACAGATCGGCTCCCGCAAAACAATGGTCTCGCATGTGGCATTGCCTGGTACCAAGCACCGCTTGAAGCGATGTCCACGGTGCGTCGAAGTTGAACTGCCAACAACATAAGCAACGGCAATTCACGGCTTCCCTGCACAACGCATGGCATCGCAACATGAAGCATGATCTGGGGTCAGATTGAACAGAAGACGTCTCTCTCGAACTGTGAAAATGACAGCAGCAATCGAAACCACACAATCTGCCAAACTCCGGAGACCTCAAAACCCAGAAAAGCCACCGCTTCAAGCTCCCATGTCCAGGAAACATGGGAGGGCAAAAGCACAGAGGGAAACAGACAGAACCGAAGAGCGAACAAGCTGCTCACTCGCACAACCAGGCTGCGATCTTCCCAGGTGTCCTGCACTCGAGCACAAACACGAGCTTGCATCCAAAGGAGCGCGACAACTCCGTGTGAGTACCAAGCTAGATGTGCTTGCTGATTGTGCTATCCTGTGTAGCACCGTCAGCAAACACAGCAAACATGTGCGCATTCAGTCCTTGGTTAGACGACGAACACCGCGCTTGGCAATGTTCACAGCACCCTCCAGCACATTCCTCAGATGGGTATTAACTGGGTGTCTCCAGCACGATTGTAATGATGAGGCAGCTCAGAGCAATCACAGAGAGGGCATGCGCAGGGACCAATGTGAGCTTCCCCCGATTATGTACCTGAACCATAAACGCAGACAGTAGGATGCGTGTTCAATCACTGCCGGTGGACCAAGTCTGCGTCTGGCTGTGCCAAGCTGCATTGGGCATCTGCTCCGGCGGGAAGGGTGCGACGATGGGCCAACATCTCTGGACGGCCCACATTCAAAAGATTGAAACAGTGAGTTGCTCTGGTTGCTCGTGGTGTTTACCTCTGCGAGGATAACCAAAATCAGCCGAGGTGTTGTATTCTAGCATTGACGTAGCTCCGGCCCAATGATGTGAAGGCATGGCTCCGTAGTGCGCCTCTGCAGGACGGGCTACCCGGCTACCCTGATGTCTCCGCAGCACACAGCGTCGACGGCTCCCCGCGTCAGGGTTCTTACTGCGCACATACTAAACGCATGGTGCTTCGGTTTACAGCATTGGCGATCATGTTGCTCCTTGAGTAGTTAGTCTTTGCGGTCAAAACAACACTCAGAGCACGTCCCTCGACCTATGCTCCACAAGCTGTCAGCAGCTGCAGATAACATGCAAGGCCTAAGGCGCCAGACCAAGAGAAAGTGGCCCAAGTGGTTTGCAGCCATAGTCTCTTCCAAACCATCCTGGCGGGAAGCAGCCTTTCAGCTGTGATCTGCATGATCGCGTGCACTTATCATGCACCATCCTTTAGCATTGAAACAAACCTTCCAGCTTCAAGACTGCTCCTCGCAAGACTACAACACGGAAATTTCATTGAACCCCATCGCGAAGAGATCATCACTCGAGGACTCGAGGAGCTTGAAGGGTTGCCTCTGTCAGAAGCCTGCCTCGCCGCATAACTCCGGCCTGGCTGCAGGCACGTAACAGTGTCTGGAGGTCCATGAACCTTCACAAAAATGAGAGCTCTGGCGAAGACGAGCCAGAGGGACATTGAGCACCAGTGTGTCCACCTGCCCCACACTTGAACGTTGCTGCATCTCAGAGGATATGCTGCATGTGATCCAGCGAAGCTTCGTTCGGTCTTGGATTGGTTGGTTCCCACTTCTGCATAGACCTTCCCAACGGTATAAGTCGTTGACATACTTTCACTACAGAGCAAGTGTCGAGAGACGGACAGAGAGGTCAGGAAGATAGACACAGAGACCGCGACGCTGGTTCTGAGATGGGCCAACGGTTCCGCGTTGTCTCTGCCGCCTCTACTCGAGAAAAGCTTTGAAAGTCGAGTCCGTTTTTTGTCTGCTGAAAGTCTCGCAGCGATCTCTTCGCCTTATCTGACCAACATGCAAAAGGCAGGCACACGCCACCACAGACGGGCTCACGCCCAGGAAATGTCAACTGTTGGAACCGATTCTTGACTGCAAGGCCATGCTGCTTGGCTCGTAGATGGACTCCAGGCCAAACAATGCCTGTCAGTGAGAATGCTGTACTGTATGTATGTCGAACACATCCGTCAGCTGCCTCGTCGCGATCGCGTAAGCAACTTGGAGAGATGCTTCAATGAGGCTCCCCCCCACGCCCGTGTTCGGCCGGAGCAGCCATTGCTGCAAGAACAGGTGCAGACTGCTTTGCACGCTGCGATTTTCCTTTAGCTCGGTTCAGCCCCAAAACCGTGTGCAAATATGACATGATGAAAAACCTCACACCCTGCAGCACATCATAATGTCATGCAGTCATACACAGTATGGGTGTACCAAGCCCTGCTGGACCATGGGTTTCGCAGAAACTACAAGTGCTCGAAATCTTTCCACCCACCGTCAAGGGGCAGCCAACGAACAGGCCGATGGCGCGGTGCTGTAAAGCAGCTAGATCACCATACGTTCATGTGGATGCTCTCGGGCCAGCTGAGTGCACACATCGGAGGTGCTTGGGCTCGGGGTGGCAGCTGGCCATCTCTACACCTTGACTGCTACACGTGCGGGGGTGTGTCGACCAGCCTTCCGCAAGCGTGATTCCGAAGTGTGCGTGTGTGCGCGGAATCTCCCTCAGATCAGATCAGACGAGGTGCTGCTCCATGGATGTAGATTCCAAGGAAGGCCGCCTGCATGGAAGAACCGACGTGCCCAACATGCTCGCTTTGTATCAACACCAATGCTATTTCGAGTCCACGCTCGCCCAGAACCAAGAGCACGATGCACTCCCTCAGATTTCATACTGTCCGAACATGTCCGAAACACTGACTGTTATGCCCGAGATGATGCCCGAAAACCCTGCCCAGGCAACATTCGAGCAGAGTCTGTAGACAAGCCCGCAGATTCGTGAAACCCCTGAAGCCAGGTCCTGTGCAAAACGCGATAGAAGACAGTCGAACACGGCATAGTGGCAGGCGAGGAAAGCCCAGTACCAGTGATGAAGGTGCAGCTTGCAGCCTCACGGCACAGCACAAAAAAGCACTGCCAGTTTTTGTCACGAAGGGATGTACCGGATCTAACGGTACCTAGTACCTGCGGCCTGCACTTCCTCGCCCATCCATTGCCAACCATTGCCCATGATTTAGCCAGCAACCCTCTGCTCCAATTTTGCGGTTGAGCCGTATAGAAGGTTGTTACATGTTGTTACAACGATTGCATGGAAGGTTCCCCTTCTTTCTAGGTGTGGCTGACGGTCGAGGCCCGTGGAAGTTGGAGAACTGTGGTCTGGCCCGTCAGGCCTGTCTGATACCCTTCTCCGACACCATGTGCAGCCAGGCCGAACGCAACCCAGGCCACCTGAGCGACCCTGCTTTGGCCATCTACGGCCGTCTCACCTAGATTAAGCTACCCGACATGTTGATGGAACTGTTGGTCAGACATCTTTGGAAATCTTACCACCTATCCACATGCAGCAAAGGTTCATATTCCCAACCTACGCCAGCTTGGAAGGCACCGGTCAAGTGGTCAAGAAGAACACCTGCACAAGATATGCACAGTTGAACCGACCATGATATTGGGGCATCCAGTCTGAGCTAGCCGAGTCCCGATTGCTGTCTCGATCCACTGGCGATTTGACCGTGGAAAAACCTGGACCGCTAGAACCCACAATTGCCCCCGCAGGCGTCTCCTGAACGAAGTGGAACCAAGACAATGCTCTGCACGGGCTCCAAGACGCTGGCAATACATAGCCTTTAACTTTTCGAATGCTTGACGACCTCTCGATGAAGCAAGCACTAAGCAACAAGAAGCAGGATTGCAACGGCGCATCGAGCTTTTCTGACAGAGGCATCGCAACACGCCGAGGGTTGATGCAAGCTCGTCTCGAAAGCACCCATGTGAGGGCAAGGGCAAACGACACAAGGACGGCAGGTCCTGTTGTATTCAGTCATGTATGAGAAAGCAGGTGCTCAGCACAACTGCCATGCCATAGTCGGTCTTGAAAGATCGTTTGTGGCTTTGACAAGCAGCGATTTGAGCTTGGCTCCGGCTGATAGGTGGTCGTGGCAACATGGCAGCTTGCGCTCGGGGGGAAAACCCACAGGTTTTGGTCCAAGAATCACGAGAGTCGCCTAGCGCCTCGGCTCTGCATCTTCTACTCCGGTGCAGTCGCATTCCCCGGAACCAGCATCAAATCCGGCTCAATGGTGAGAAGTTTGTTTGACCACGGGCTTCCCCTTACAATCGGGCGACCGCAGGGGCAGAACTGCGGTGAGGCCCGCAGGACCGACAGGCCGGCCGAGCGAGTGTGTATGAGTGTCTGACTAGCCAATGGATCCGGATCATCCAGCCTCCCCGGTAGGCTGGATCCATTGGCCAGTCACGCAATCGCTCGGCCGGTGCGTCGTGCGAACCAGCTGTGACAGGGCCTTGTAGTTTTGCGTTGCATTCCTGAGCACAGGGCGAAACACTTTTGTAGAGAGCTCATCAAGCGCGGTTTCTGCGTGATGCATGGAAAGATCATGAAAGAATGTCAGATATCCGCATGAAAATGGCACACCAAAAACCATGCACGCAAGCCCTCTTTTGCATGGTGGATTGGTGTGGCTGCCGACTCCCGGGATGTTCCTTCGGTCGAAGACCTCAGCCAAGAAAGAGGCCGTTTCGAAGCACAGGAGGGTCCCCTCCTTCAGGGCCTACGGCACCTGTGGATCGGGAACCCTCCTTGTACAGAAAAGAGTTCCAAAATTTTGTGCCGTCCAGAAAGAAGCCTGTACAGGAGGCAGCCACATCCTCACCGGGCGCCCTGCGCGGGCCCATGGGTGAGGTCAGAAGGATCGTCGAAAATACGATCTTCCAGGATAGAGCGGATGAGGGAAAAATGCTCGAGCACGGGTTCCACCGGCAAGCAGAGAGATGGAGTGAAACCTTGAAAGTTGGGATGAGTCAGATCATCAGCCCAAGTGTTGAAGTCACGCTTGACGTGGGAGGGTGCGAGCTGCATACCATGCCGGTGCAGCTGGTACAGTATCTCCATGAGGATGACCGACGTTGGCATCCTCTTGGACTTATCGTTCAGGAGCGAGTACACATTCCCTTGGTTGTCGCTGACCAGGGGGAGCCTGAGGTTCGGTATGAACGCAGGCGCCTTCTCCATGAGAAAGTGAGAGAGGATCAGTGTGCCAAACATCTCGAGGGCAGCAATGCGCTTTTTCGGGCAGCCCTTGTCAAATGCCCATGGATGCCGCTCTGCAGTGACCTGGTAGTGGAACCAGAACACTTCCGACTTGGACGGGGAGTCCGCGTTAGAGAGCCAGCCGCCCACATAGGCGCTGCCATCATCTGAGGCGCTAGCATCACTTGCCCCCGACCAAACGGCAAGCGGGGCATACGGCGATGCTTGTCGGAACTTCTGGTCAAAAAGAGAGAGGAGCAGAGCCGAGAGCGCACGGATAAGCTTACCCGGACGTCCTGCTGTCAGGCAGGCCTTCTTCCAAGCCCAAAAGGGTTGGAGGAAAGGCTTGGTGAGGGGGCAGGCCGTTGTCGCCCACTGCAGCCTACCCAAAGCGCTAGCGATCTGAGAAGCCGACATGACTTTACCGCTTTTAAGCTCTTCAAGAATGCCGATGACAAGCAGGTGCTTGTCTCGGGCCATCTGCACACAGGGTCCTTTTGGGTCAATGACAAAGCCAAGCCAAGTATTAACCTCAGCAAGCAGGGTTTTCTTCCAGCTCAGAGGAGTGCCTAGAGCAAGCAACAGCAAACAAATCGCTGTTGCCAGCAGAGGGGAATTCGATTTACGGAGTAGCCAGGCAAAGTCGTCGACAAAGACAAAACCCCAGTCGACCTCGGGAAACACGGCATACACAATCCTAAGAAGGATGGCAGCCATCCTTCCCCAGTAGAGCTGGGCACTGGCCATTCCATAGGTGCCTACGGTGTTGACCCACCATTCCTCACCAAGCTGGGCAACTTGGTAACGCCACTCTCTTAGGAGAATCTTGATTCTCCTGTGCGCCTTAGTAACATCAGCTTTGAGCAAAATCCAGTCCTCGTCAGAGCCCGGGAAGCTCCAGGGTCGGCCGGAGCCGGCACTGGAGTCTGCGTTGCCCGAGGGGCCGTCCTGTTCTCGGCTTGTCGCCCCTGGGGCAGTAGCCAGGGTTGCCTGCTCTTCAGGATCAGGGCCATGGGCACCTGGTTTCCCACGAGAGCGAGATGCCCGAAGCCAATGCAGGCATTGGACGCAGTCCATGACCGTCGGGGCCGTGGTTTTCTCTACGGTATTCTGTTGTATACGGAGATTAGCACCACCCTTAGACCCGTCGAAGATGGAACGGATCTTGTCCGACTCATCAATCCCTGCCATGGGGCAGGGGCAGAGCTCGTCCTCTGCACATTGGCAGTGCGCCGCTGCCTCGGCGCGGGTGCACGGTCCAATGACCATGCCCAAGGGGGTTTCCTCCACAAAGGTGGCCCGAATCTCCTCCCTAAATGTGTCCGCGGAGGAGTAATTGGCATGGCCAGTGGGGGGTGGAGCTTCCACCGGGTCCCACTCTTCACCAATGAGTTCCGACTTCAAGGGCCAGACGCCCGGAGATTGGAGAGTAGGGGTATCCACTCCAAGAGGGACT